AGAAGAAAGGATGCAATTACCTGGTGATTGGAGTATGGGGCCAGCGGAGGAAAGGTTAAGGGAGGAGGAGGTTATGGTGGCGAATCAGATTTCGTTGGCTGAACGAATTAACTCAGCGATTGAAGAGGCTGACTCGTTCAGGGAGGAGTGCCAACGAGTTGGGTGCTTAGTGGGTAGGTTGAAGCGGATGCTTCGGTATCTGATCGATTATATCGCTGCTGCTCAGACCCTATACGACCGGCCGATTGTCTGCATAGTAGCTGAAGTCTCAAAAAACCTCGAGCGAGCACTGACCCTGGTCCGGAAGTGCAAGCGATGGACCCTATTTCGCCGGTTCGTCATCGGTAATCGTACAACGGATTTTTCCAGAATCTTCACTCTTCTGGAATCTTCAATTGCTAATTTGAATTGGTTGCTCAACCTCTTCGATCCATACACCGGCTGCGCCACCGGCGAATGGAATCTATCCTTGCCTCCGATCCATGATCCGGTTATTTCATTGGTCTGGTCGTTCAACGCCACCCTAAAAATGGGTAAACTTAAAAATCGCATCGAGGCCGCTTACAGTCTTGCTTCGCTTGCACAAGCGAACGAGAGGAACAAGAGAATCATTGAGGAAGAAGGCGGAATCCCTCTTCTGGTAAAGCTTCTCAGAGATACATTCCAGCCAGAGGCGCAAATTCCGGCGGCTAATGCGCTTTATATTCTCTCAGATGACCAAGAGAGAGTGAGGGCTATTATGACCGGTGGTGGAATTCCAGCAATCGTTCATCTATTGAGGGCTTCCCCCATCAGGGTTCAGATCCAGGCGGCGAGTCTGGTTGCGAGATTAGTGGAGAGGTACCCCCAGGCGCAGGAGGCTTTCGCAGAGGAGCGTGTGGTTGTTCCGCTGGTGAAATTGTTGTCTTTTGAGTTATTTCCCGAACTAGTCATCCCACAATTTAAGCATAAACAGAGCATTTGCTCTGTTTACGAGATGGAAATGAAAATCAACAAACACAACTCCGTCGGACTCAATCCGGAGGTTGACAGTCTGTACACCAATTTGTGCTTAAATTGGTTCTTTGAGGGGAGTAATGGCGCTCAAATGCAGAAGAAAGAGTGGGAGACGGGGGAGCCGGCCGTAAAACTCCAGGTGAAGCTTAATTGTTCAAAAGCTTTATGGGTGCTTGCGCGAGAAAACGAATCAATTAGCAAAAATATAACAGAGAGGAATGGATTGATGTGCTTGGCGAAGTTAATAGAAAAGGAAAGGAATGAATTGCAGTTAAATTGCTTGATGATTGTTATGGAGATAGCAGCCGCAGCTGAACAACAAGCGAATTTCAGACACTTGGCGTTTAAGACTAATTCACCGGGTGTCAGAGCCGTTATTGATGAGCTATTGAGGGTGATCAAAGAATCAGAGGGTCCTGAGTTCCAGATTCCGGCAATCAGATCGATTGGGTCTCTGGCTAGGATTTTTCCGGCAAGAGAGATTCGAGTGATTGAATCTCTGGTGGCGCAGATTAGAAACAAGCACCGCCGAGTGGCTGAGGAAGCTGTTATCGCGTTGCAGAAGTTCGTCTGTGAAGATCATTTTCTTCGATCGGAGCATTCGAAATCGATAATCAAGTTCAATGGTGTAGCGGCCATGAAGCGATTGATTGGGAAGCAGAGTCCGCAGGCAATGGTTCTTCTCCACTACCTTTATGACAGCCGGCCTCTCCAGCGATACTGCTGCACTGAGACGGAGGTGAAAAATGGCAGCGCACGGTGGACATATATGACACCGGAGAATCCAGCCAACGCCTTTGAAAATCTTACAAATTCAAAAGCATCGTCCATCGTCCATCGTCCATCGTCCAGACAAAATGGCCCGAGCCCAAAAGCAAGACCCAAGTTCCTAACGACCTTCTTCGCTTTACCACAGTAATTGGCCCTTGCAGTTGCACCTGCCCGGTCTCCTCTTCATCATTGCAAAACTCAACTTCATCCCCGATTTCCAAGAACACTCCTCGTGGTTTAGTTCCTTATTTGCAACAGGCCTATACAGGAAGTACATACTAAAAATAGTTCGGAGAGGGATTAGTTTAGAACTGCTAATGAGTTTGTCAGCAAACACTCTATCCTTCCAAATCAAAATCGAAACTTCTAGAAATTTTATGTATAATTACTGGGGGAGTGTACTAACAACGCAAACTATAAGTCGTTGAATTAAGTATTAGAAATGGTATGTATATTGATCCAGGTAATATGATGAGTAAAGTACACGC